TTCATCCTAGAGAAGGTTAAACCGGGCTGCTCCTTGGAGGCAAGGATTCTGAGGCTCTGTCTAACATACTTTGGACTTGTAAGGAAAGACCGGTCCTTGGAGAAGGACATTATGCTTGGGAGGGTGGAGGGACAGCGCAGGAGGGGAAGGCCCTCTAGAAGATGGACTGATTTGGTGACTGGGGCAATTGGGATGAGTGTGTCGGAGACAGTGAGATTGGCATAGGACAGAGCAGGGTTTAGGGCTGTTGCACATAGGGTCGCTATGAGTCGCAAACGACTCGACGGCCCATAACAGCGACAACATGAGATAAAGTGCCACCATTCATTCCTCTGAGGAATATTCTAGTTGTCTTTCCAAGATCTACTTACCTATTCTTCTAGCAGTGTGAGGAATAATCAGTACTCTTCACTGATACCACAGTTCAGGGGTGTTAACTCTTCCTCGACCTGCCTTATTTAAGGTCCAGCTTTCAGATGTGTGGTGGTGTGTACCGTCGACTCAGAACCGGCCCGTGGCTGACCCTCCAGAGGGTTTTCGAGGCAGTAAATCACATGAGGGGAGAGCGTTTATTTTTCTCCCATGAAGCAGCTGGTGGGTTTGAAGTATAATAGGACGATAGTTGGGTGTATGGGAAATAATTGAAAAGACCATGATATAGGTCAGGCACACCTTAGTCCTTAAAGTGGCGTCTTTGGTCTTTGACAGCAGAGTTTCCCAGTGTAACACGTCTTTCCATTTCTTGACTGTTGCTACCGTGGGTGTCGATTGTGGATCCAAGTGAAAATCCGACAACTTCCATCTTTTCTTTGTTTACCTAGTGTTGCTGTGAGTTTGAACTGACCTGAGAGTTCCTAACAACAAATTAGAGACACAGGTGTGCACTTCTGTGTTTACAACAGGAATACCTCTCACTGTGGGTACTTCTGAGTTGACATCTACAACTTCAAGCCAATAGGCTAAATGCCCCTTAATTAAAAGACAGTGGAAATCAGAACCCACACATTTCATGATGTGACTGCTGTCACACCTGTACCCTGGAAAGTCTGAAGTCTAAGGGTTCAAGAGACCAGCTGCCTTGTGCCCTGCTGGCTGTGTCCGCAGACCAGGTGTGCCACATCTCTGTGCGTGGGGTTTCACCTGTAAAGTAAGGACCACGAGAGCTGTACCCTCAATGAGAGGTCTGCCGGAAGGCCCCAGAAGGGCACCCAGCACTGCAGGCCCATGACTTGGGTTCATTCTTACTCCAGATTTTTGCTGCATTAAAATCCACAGTGAACGAGGTCACTTGAAGCTTTGACAAAATCCATCAGAAAATGTATTTTGAGGCATTTGAAAAAAATACTAAGCTCTACAGTAAGTCTGTTAACTGGAGCTAAGATGAGCAGGGATTGTGAATTATGGGCAGTCTTGTTGCTGGTCTACGGGTACTGACAGGGTGGTCACCAGAGGAACAGGGAAAGCAGGTGGAGCACTGTGCAAGAGAGACACTGCTTCTGGCTCTGTCCCTGTCTGTTCCGTCATGCAGATACCAAGGGGACCACTGAACACTTTATTTAAATGACAGTTGGTAAAGCAGATCGGTTTCCGTTTAATCACTTACACACATTCTGTTTTCTGACATTTTTGACAGTACCCACAACTCCTCCTGCTTTCTGTCTATACTTCTCATTGCTGTTTACAATTCTGTCCTCTCCCTTCTGTCCCAGGGCTCCATCATGGGCCAGCGGCTCTTCTGATCTCATTTGGCTGGTCATTTCAGAGAAGAGTGTGGCTGAGATGAGAGTTGAGCCACATTGGTAAGGATGGTTCTGGGTTTCAGGGGTGAACAAGGACCATCCTCTCTGGGATTCTATCCATCTTCATTCACCTGGCAGTGTTGCCTGATGCAGCACTTGGGTTCTGTTCCACACCCTTCTGTCTGGGATAATCTTGGGTTCTGTTCCACATTGTGCCCTCCTCCCCCATCTGCGATAATCTTGAGCTCTGTTCCACATTGTCCATGCTGGCTGGAATAATCTGCAGCCACTGAATTGGGTAGCACACAATATCTTCTTGTTGTGGTTCCAGGAGCACGGCTGCCCCTCAATTCCTGCTCCTGTCCACCAGTACCACAGGGATGAGGCCACTGTTCTGATCACTTGTTTGACTGATAGTTGATATGTCCATCTTATTTCAACAAGCAGTGGACAGGACAAAAAAATTAGTCCCATCCCTGAGCCTTGAATGTGAAAGAGTTGTACTTAAACTGATGAGAAGGGGTAGGCTAATCTGAAAATAGAAGTTTAATGGAAGAAATAAGTTTCAACTTTCTGTGTATGCCATCCCATTATTATCTTGTTCACATAGTTTCTGCAGAGAAATCAGAACGTTATCTAATAATTTCCCCTTTATAGGAGACTCTGATTTTCTCTCGTTTCTTTTAGTATTCTATCCTTATCTGTTAATTTAGAGACTATAACTATGATGTCTTGATGCTTTTCTTTTGGGGTCTAGTCTATTTGGTGTTTGCTGAACTTCTTGGATATGAATTTTTCTGTCCTTCATAATATCTGGGAAGTTCTATTACCTCTTCCATCATTCTCTCAGTGATTTCTCTGTCCCTCTCATGTTCGAGAATTCCAGTCATGCATATGTTGTCCCTTTTGATGTCATCCCACGTGATTCTAATACTTTCTTAATTTTCTTCAAGTCTCATCTCTGATTTTTCTTCTAGTTTGTTTCCATTGAGGCTCTTGTCTTCCAGCCCACTGACTCTCTTTTCCATCTCTTTTGTTCTACATCTTTGTCCCTCCAGCGTGTTGGACACTTGTGCCATTTCCGTCTTAATATCTTGGGTTGCATTTTCATGCATTTCTGTTATTTCCGGTACTGTGTTGGCTGTACCCTCTCTGTCTTGTGATCATTTTTTTAAGTTCTTGTATCTCTTTATGTTGTTGTTTTTGTTGAGTGCCTTCAAGTCCAGCACAACTCATAGCAACTCTATGAACAAAAGGCCTGACCCCCACCCCCGCACACACATACACACAACCATTGTCATTTATCAAAGTTCATAGAGTTTCCAGAGGCATGTTGTTTAGGAAGCAGATGTCTCTCCTGCTCCCAATCTTTATGTATAGTTTCAATTTTTTATCTCATCTTTTGCATTTTCTTCTGTAGTTGTTCACTGATATGTTTCTTCCGGTTTCCCATCTCTGGAATTTTTGCTTTCTTAGTGGTTTCCATTATTTCTTCTATCATTTGCACCTTCATCTGTTTTAATAACTCTGCATCAACATCTTCCTTCTGGTTCTCTGTGTTTAAGGTATTCTTTGAGCCTATAATATGCTCTACATTTTTAGCAGAAAGGTTGATTTGTTTGGGGCTTCCTGCTGCTTCTTGACATTATGTGACTCTTTTCTTGGTAGATGTTAGGCTGTTATAAATGTGTTATGTCCCAGGTGAGGGTGATGTTCCGTGAAGGACCTGGATATTGGTTGTCCTGTTCCCCATGGCTTAAGAAGTAAGTCTGATATTTACAGCAGCAATGTACCTATGTCTACACCAAAGCCAAACCCCTGCTCCTGAGTTGATTCTTCCCCACAGAGACTGTGGGACTGAGGAGAATGGCCCCCGGGGGTTTCCAAGGCAGACGCCCAGCCTTCTCCCTCGGCGACTGTCGATCCAGTGCACTGCTCAGTTGTCAGGAGAGCACTTAACCAGGAGGGCACCTCTTGGCTGTCTTAAATCGCGACCTCTCCTCCCTTCTGTCTTGGATACACGTGGCCGATCACAGGCTTGGCCTCCATGGCAGAATCCTGCACTGGATTCCCCTGGAGGCTGTTTCTTCAGTTTCTCTGTACCCAGTGCTGACAAGTGGGTCTCTGCTCATCCACTCTCTGAGGCTATCAATCTTTGCAAGAGAAGACGGCTCATCTCTCTTCCCAGGAGCCTCTGGTGTGATTCGAACTGCCAACTGACAGTAGCCACACCACCACCAGGCTTTCTTGGGTGTTCGGAAAGCTTGGTTGACTTTAATGCTTCTTAGCAGTTGGATGGGAAGCTGCTCACAAGTGAAGATTAAACAAGTGATGTTAAGTGGCCTTCTCTTTCCATGATACTTTGTATTTATTTTAAACTTTTTTTTATGATAGAAGGTAAAGTCTGTAGAATCAGTTGGTATTCCATTCTGCCATTCACCTGTTCCTTGAGTGATGACATTGATGACAGTTTCCACACTGTATCCTCCATTCTGCCATTCACCTGCATAACAAGTGATAACATTGATGACAGTCCTAACAGTGTATCGTCACTTTCCACACTGTCTTTCTACAGTTTCCGTTCATCTCTCCATCCTCTCCCTTTCTACCTTTGGAGCTCCATCTTTGGACAAATGCTGGCCTGGCCTGTGACCCTGTACAGTTGAATGTTCTAAGGACTAGGTACCTTCCTGCAAACAGGGACGCATTTACAGCCAGCATGTTTTAGAGACTTTCACTGTGTTGTTTTGGGGTCAAGTTGACTACAACTCAGAGCAACCCTGTGCAAAGCACATCTGAGTCTTGCCTTATCCTTGGTCATCCTCATGGTCTTATTTTTTACAGTCATTGTGTCGGTGCTTTTTGTTGAAGGTCTTCCTCTCTTTTGCTGACCTTTCTTAACATGATGTCTTTTTCCAAGGACCAGCCCTCCTAACAACATGCCCAAAGAATGTGTGGCGAAGTCTCACCATCCTTGCCTCTGAAAAGCCCTCTGGTTGCACGTCCTCCAGTCCAGATTTGTTCCCTTGGCTGTCCGTGGGAAATTCAGTGCTCTTCTGCAACACCACCGCTCAGAGGCATCGGTTTTCCTTCTGTCTTCCTTACTTGTTTTCCAGCTCTCAGATGCATAGCAAGTGACTGAAAAGACCATGGCTTAAATCAGGCGTACCTTAGACAAGAAATCCAACAAAAACAGCAGCATATCAGAATTGAACGATGGCTGATAGGACAGCACTGGACTTGTGTGCTTGCCCGAGTTGAGCCACAGGGAGTGAGTCAAAGGAAGTGTTAGCAGTGCTCGGAGCCTCTGCGCACTTGGGACTAAGTTTTGTAGAGAATAAGAAACACACAGATAAATGTTCTATCAGTTTTGATGTAATCAAAGCTATGTGGAAATAATAGGTATGTAACTGCTGCTGTTATGTACCGTAGAGTTGGAACCGACCCGTAGCTGATCATCTGATGGGCTTTCAGAGATAGTAAATCACACAGGAAGAGGTTGCCCATCCTTCTTCTGTGGAGCAGCTGGTGGCCTCGAACCGTGTGCCTTCAGGATTGCAGCACAGCTTCTTGCCACTGTGCCACCAGAGCTCCCTACATAAGCCTATTATGGAAACGCACGCAGCCCTCCTCCACCTTTTCTGTTTTGTTTTTACCTTTTTGATCGTGAGTCAGGTGGAAGTTTACAGAACAGCTTCGTTTTCTGTTCAGCCGTTTATTTCGTGACGTTGATTGCAATTGCTCCACCTGGTCTTGGAAAGCGATTTGGAGAACTTCTGCCACCACCTGCTGCATGTTAGACACCTGTGCCAGAGTTTTATGTCACACAGACCTTCCTTTTACAATTGCAGAGGGCAGGACAGGGCAGGTGCTGCCCAGACCGTGGCTGAGAAGGTTGGGATTTGAATACGGAAGTGTCTCTCACTCCTGGTAATGGCTGAGTGGCTTCGGCTGAACCGGTGCTCCCACAAATGCCTCTATGTTCCAGAGGGCATTAACGCACAATCCCCTAACAGCACTGAGCGACTCCTGAAGTGGGCAGTGTCTGGAAAGCCAGAAGAGAGGCTCCCGTTTTTAAAGAGTTGGTAGGTACATGGAGTGGAGTTTGACTCAGCAACCCTGTCGACAACCAACCTGAATCCTGTCCTGCCTTGTGCCTTCCTCGTCTCTGACACGCTGAGCCCACTGCTGAAGGCACTGTGTCAGTCCACCTCATTGGGGGTCTTCCTCTCTTTTACTGACGTTCCACCTTCCCAAGCATGACGCCCCCTCCAAGGAGTAGCCTCACTTAGCAACATGCCCAAAGTGTGAAAGCCAAAGCTTCATCACCCTTGCCTCCAAGGAGCACTCTGGCTGCACTTTCTCCAAGACAGACCTGTTTGACGTCTTGCTAGTTTACGGGATGTTCAGAGCTCTCCTCCAGCACCACAGCTCAGAGGCGTCAACTCTTCCTCTGTCATCCTTGTTCATTGTCCAGCCCTCAGATGCATAGCAAATGACTGAGAAGACCACGGCTTGAATCAGGTGCATCTTAGTCTTCATACTGACATCGTTGCTCTTCTGTATTTTGGAGAGATCCTCACAGGGGACTTGCCGAAGGCACTAGGTGTCCTTATTCCTGCTGGTAGATGCTGTCTAGTTGCCTCGGACTCATCAGGACCCCGTGTAAAGCACGCTGCCTGACACTGTGCCGTCTCACAGTTGCTCCTGCGTGTGGCTCCTTGTTGCAGCCACTGGATTTGTCCGTCAAAATGAATGTCCTTCTCTTTCATCTTAAGAAGTCACTCCCATCCTAACAGAATCTCCTTCTCTCCCTGTCCCCCAAAGGCCTGTCCGGGGACTTCCTGCGTGCAGGCAGGTACTCCGCCCACACTGTCAATGGGGCCTGGTCAGCCTGGACCTCCTGGTCCCAGTGCAGCCGAGACTGCAGCCGCGGCATCCGGAACCGGAAGCGGGTGTGTAACAATCCTGAGCCCAAGTACGGGGGGCTGCCTTGCCTGGGCCCCGCCCTGGAGTACCAGGAGTGCAACATCCTGCCTTGTCCAGGTGAGTGGAAGGTACCTGGGAAAGACGGGGAGGTCACGTGAGTATAGGGCACCTGAAAAGAGGTGGTGAACCAGGTGAGTGGGGGCTTATGAGAAAGGTGATAAAACCAGGTGAGTGGGGTACCTGGGAAAGGTGGTGATGCCAGGTGAGTGGGAACACCTGGGAAAGTGGAACGTCACTGAGCTCAGGGTCTTTAAAGACCATAAGTGCAGGTATCACATCTCAGGGGGCTGAAGGTCCACATCCAGAGCACTGTTCTAGGGGCTTCTCCTTCCTTGTCAGGGGTCCTGGGATGTCCTCTGTGTTCTCCATGGGACCCTGGGCCTCTGTGCCCCCTTTTCCAGCCAGCTTGCACCTCAGACAAGGTCTGGCAGGCAGGCTGCCTGCTGACATCTGTGGGTCCGCTGTACGTCTGACGTCAGGGGCCCCTTTGTTTAAAGCTGAATGAGATGGAGCCACTGTACTCAGACAGTGGGGTTCAGACTAGACTACACTCCTTTATTCTGATGATAAGGGAGATCAAAGCTCTGTCACAGCTCTCTGCAGAGCCGTGTGCACCCGACACTGGGCTGGTGACCAGTAGGCCTGCTGACTAGTGGTTCCCCTGTTAGTGATATGGCGGGCTACCCCCAGAGCTGCCTGGCCAGGTGGCAGGAATCTCTGAGACCCCTGGGGCCGGACTCGGTGTTCTCCTCTCCAGGAGGCCAGGCGCTCACTATGTCCTTCCTGAAAGCTGGTACAATCCCCACACCTGAGAACAGTTGCTGAGTTGAACTGAATGAGGCTTCCCAGCACCCAGCGTCCTCTGCACCCTATGGTCCCGAGTCTCAGCCTGCGACAGCCCTGTAAACCCATCTAGCATTGCATTTCTCCTGCCCCCGCCCAGGGAGCTGGGGGTTCCTGTAACTGCCAGCTTCTGTCTGCCTCATCCCCCTCCAGTCCGCCCATCCTCAGCTCCCAGGGGACCTTCAGCCTATAGCATTCCACCAGCCACACACTCCTACTGTCCCTGCTTCGAGAGAATCTCATTTGGAGCAGGGGCCATCAAGTCTGCACAGTAACGAGTGGGGACAGGGCACGGGGCCATGTCTACACTGACTACACCACGCTGTGTAATAAAGGTACAGCATCTTAGCATCTTTCCCAAAAGAAGCCACAAGCTGTTCCCAGACTTCTTGAAAAGAAAAGCCCTCTCAGGTGCTTGTAAGTGTTGGGGGTTAGGTCGTGGGCTGCAGTTGTTTGGATGTCACCAAGTTGGTGACTCATGGTGGCTCTGTGTAAAATGCTGGCATGCCAAGCATCTGTGCAGAGCGTAAGCCCCTCATGCAGGCACACTCTGTGAGCCCCTCACTGCGGACACACTGTGTGAGCCCGTCACTGCGGACACACTGTGTGAGCCCGTCACTACAGACACACTGCACGTCCCTTACTGCAGACATACTGTGCGAGCCCCTCACTGTGGACACACTGTGCGAGCCTGTCACTGCGGACACACTGTGCGAGCCTGTCACTGCGGACACACTGTGTGCATCCCTTACTGCGGACACACTGTGCGAGCCCGTTATTGTGAACACACTGTGCTAGCCTGTTACTGCAGACACACTGTGTGAGCCTGTTACTGCGGACACGCTGTGCGAGCCCATCACTACGGACACACTGTGTGCATCCCTTACTGCGGACACACTGTGCGAGCCCATTACGGTGGACACAGACTGCGAGCCCCTTACTGCAGACACACTGTGCGAACCTGTTATTATGGACACGCTGTATGAGTTCGTTACTGTGGACACCCCGTGTGAGTCCATTATGGCAGACACACTGTGTGAGTCCATTACGACAGACACACTGTGAGTCATTAAGTGTAGACACTATGTGAGTCCATCTTGCTGGGGTTTTCCTTGCTCTCACGGACTGTTTTTCCAAATATGAAGTCCTTCTCAGGGATTAGACCATCCTGAAAGAATGTATAGATGAGAAGATAGAAAGTGGATGGATGGATGGATGGATGGATGGATGAGAGAAGGATAATTAGGAGGACAGAAGATGGATGCATGGTGGTCTGGTGGATGGATCAACAGATGGAAGAATAGAAGAACAGATGATGGGTGAATGGATGGGCAGACAGATGGACATATTGATGGGCAGGTGGATGGAGGTAGTGAGGAAGGAGGGATGGATGGACAAGTGGACAGACGGATGGATGGATGGGCAGGTGGATGGAGGGACTTAAGAAGGCTGTATGGATAGCCGGAAGGATGGCAGAATACATGTGTAGATGAAAGTGAAGACACAGCCCAGCTGTGGTTCCCCTGAGGTCCCATCCTGGCCGCTGTGCTGTTTCTGGTCCCCTGGGAGTCTCTGCAGAATTCCTCCAGCCTTGGGGACTCCTCCTCTGGCTAGCCAGGCTGATATGAGGGGCTGGGAGAGGTCACAGAGCCACTTCTTTCCCACCCCCTCCAGAAGTGGAGTATCCTCCCGCGGGGGCTTAGAGGGACCAGTGAGGTCACATCCTTGCATGAAGGTCCGTGCTGTAAATAGCAGAGTGGGGGCCGTGGGAATGGCAGCCATCGTCTCCCCTACCCGACAGCAGAGCCCTCTGCCGTCAGCACAGTGTGCACTCCCTCAGGGACCCTGGGACAGACGCTGCGTGTCCTTGAGCAGAGGGTCAGGGCCAATCTCTGAGATGCTGGTCTCTGGGAAACGCCCCGCTGTCTTTGTGCTGACTCATCTCAGAGCCAGCCCAGGCCCAGAGTGCAGAGCTGGGGAGTCTTCAGATAGCTTCTATGTTCCACTGGGGGCTGTGCACTGTTGAACAGGATCGCTCCATTTCCTGTGGCTGAGTTCTTGGGCTGAGGGAGCAACTGCCAATCATCGCTCACCTTCTAGAGTATCCTCTAACCTTCTAGAACATTCCAGAGCCCTAAGTGCTTTGCTCCATCAGGGAGGAGCATTGGAGGCTGTGAGGGTTTGGCCGCTGGGCCCAGCAGCCACGGAGCCCCAGTGTGCGTGCGGACGGACTCTCCTTATCTCAGTTAGATGCTCCTCCCTGGGAACTGTTCCTTCTAAGCCTGGCTTTGGGTTTTGATTCCAACCCCACCCCTCACTTGGGTGACTTCATGTTTGGGCATTTCGTTGCCTTCATGTGATTTGTTATAAAAATAAAGCTCAAGAAAGTCTTTGCCTGTAAAGAGCCTTTCAGTTGATCTGTGAGAAATGCAGCCCCAAGTTCTAACAAATGATGAGCACGAGGAGGGTTGGAAGCTCAGTGCACATGGGCTTGAGCACGACGCGCCTCTGGGTTTTATCTAACTTCGCTGACCTAGTTAGCTCCGGTGGTGAGAAATGGCGTGGCCTTCCCCCTTGCACTCCTGCTTCTCTCCTCTGAGGACCTTGCCGGACAAAGGCAGATGCAGAGAGGGCTCTTTGTTGCTAAGCAATATTCAAATAACATGAAAGCAACTCTGAGTTTTATTTCAGCCCATAAAACCTTGGCAGGAAGCGTAAACTCCTTTCATCAGATTTCACTAAGAAGATCCCATTTTGTTCTTATTTCTCTTTTTTCCCCCCTTAAATTTTATAATGATTTGCATACAAAATTCTTATATGTTTCATTCATGTATCTTGTGTTCCACACATTCCTTCATTCACATTGTGTTTCATACGATCTGTGTTTGATAAAATTAATCACCACTGATCTATGCCCACTATTCTTTCATGTCCCCACTGTATCTTCCCAAATTCCTTCATGCCCTCCTTCTGCCCACTTAACTCTGTGATCCTGTGATTTCCCCTTCTTCCTCCCCCCCACCCCACTAAGCCCGCGGGACCCCCGAGACGTTTATCCACATCTTACTAGTCATCCCTCCAACGATTATTACAACAGAAAGCAGTCCGTTTTGTCCTTGTGGCGGGAAAGTGAGAGGCCTGGGGATGGTGCTCTGATTGTGGAGAGCATGGAGAATGAGGTGCTGGGCTCTGGGCTCCATGGAGATCAGCAGTGAGGACAGTGTGTGCTCTACAACAGGTGCTCCGTGTGTGTGTGTGTGTGTGTGTGTGTCTGTGTGTGTCTGTGTGTGTCTGTGTGCTGTACTCCCCCCGCCTGAACCCTTGGGTGCACATTCTGCTTTGTAAGCTACAAGGGTGAAATGCACATCTGTCCCGGGGGAGCAGGAACCTTTGGTGTCTTGGGGTGCTGCAGTCATCACTGGCACTCACACAGAAGGACTCAGATCCGAGAATTATCTCCCACTTCTGGGGGCTGTGGTCCAGTCAGGGCATCGGCCATGCCCTCCCATCCTTCCTCTCTGGAGAGCGCAGGTCCGGCTGCTTCCCCAGCTCCTGGGGTCTCCACAGCATCCTCCTGTGCCTCTGTCCACACACACACACATACACACACCCCTTTCACTCTCTCTCCATCTCCCTCTTTCTCTTCCTCTCTCCCTTTATGTGAATATACTTTTTTCTAATAGGGAGCTCTGGTGGCTAAGTGGTATGGAGTTGTGCTGCCAGCCCAGAGGCATGTGGTTCAAATCCACCAGCTGTTCTGCATGAGAAAGACAGATGGTCTCCCCTGTGTGCTTTAGTGCTCTGAAGCCTGCTGGAGGGTCCGCTACGGATCGCTTCCCGCCCCACGGCACACAACTCGCATACAGACAACATTCGTACAGAATTGAAACCTAACCTACTCCAGTGTGGCTTCATTTTAGAATTTCTAGGTGTTTCTCTCTTAATGCATGCCATTGCTTCAATTCTCTGTCATTCTAGAACACAACCTTCTGTAATGAAGAATTACAGAATGAGAGAGCTCTGTTGGCCTGGTGCGTAGAAAGTGATGCTACCAAGCCAAAGGTGGGTGATACTGATCTGCGGCCCTCAGGCCTGATTTTAACTCCTTTTGGTCAAACATTCTTCTGAGTGGTGTGGCACTGGTCTGTCCATTTGCTGTACAGAGGTAACTCGTGGTTGCTGTGATGCTAAACACTGTGACACTGATGTGTCAA